GAGTTATGTGTATTCAAGTGGTGCATCTTATGAATCTTGTTAAGCTTTACCGCCTTATAGCCTCACTGATGGAATATTTAATCACAGAAATGAGTTGGCAGATATGATATACAATGCAGTTAAGCCTTGCAGCATGTGTCTTCACCAGCAATTGAGAAACTGGGGAATTTCCTATACATCAGTACCATCTTGACAGCTTGGTGTAACTCTATGTTTTGTTTTGTTTGTATTTATTTATAAAGATTAAAGATGCTTTAAATCAATAGTTTATTTGTAGAAATCTCACGTGTATTTGGCCAAATTTTTCATCACTTATTAGTAAGCAAAAGAACTTCTCTTACTGACCATGGAATCTTTGGCATTAGCCCTGTTGGGGCATTTTCATCTGAACACTTTTGAAACTACCAATGATAAAACTAAATAACATATTGCTGGTGGTTCCATATACTTTCAAATATTCCAAACTCTGTTTAACACCTTTCTCTCTAAAACTTAAGAAGAGAATGGCCAGAAACCATGGCTAAAATGTCAAAGATCTTTAAGAAGAAAGTAGTTGCTTGTGTCACCATTTTATTGCTCACAGGTCTGGGCTCTCCTTCTAGCTTTGGGATTGATTAGATTTAAAAAAAAATCAGTACTATTTAGATTAATAGGAAAAAAACCCCAACACCCTTTGGACAGATTTCAGATATCTATGGGATAGAGTGATGTGTGTGTGTGTTTCTGAAAATGGAAACTGGATATATATATATTTTTAATTATGGGTATGTGATTCTAGTTCAGAGTTCAGAAAGCCACCACTTGGAAAGTCTCTTTCATAAAAGCTTCCTAAATGTTTCTTTTATGCTGTAGGAGAAAGCATGTCATAATTCATCAAACAAAATTAATACTGTTGAGCTAGTAATTAAAGGTTCTCATTAAGAAGTACAACTGCTCTCCCTAACCCCACCCTGCAATAAAAATGCACTGGGGACTTCGAGAGGTTATATACAAAAATCAATAACCTGCCATTTTATAATTAAAAGAGAAAATAAATGTTAGGAAAAGGTCCACTAAATTAGGAAAATTACCTTTAGGAGAGATTGAAAATATTGATTTTAATTTACAAAATATGCGAACTCTTCATGCCCTACTCTGAGAGACAATTGGAGGCTGGGTTGTTAATTCTGCATAAGCTTTGAAAATCAATAATTATACTATGGGAATATTATTATAGTCATCATTAATAAAAAGTCATATGTACAGAAATGACTAATGACTCCAGCTTTCTATTTCATGCAGATTCAGGTTAAAATTGCTGAATGCCCCAATCAAATCAATGTCACAGCCTCTCTTTCCATTTAGATACATTCAGCATTGCAAATAGGAGAAAGGTATCTATCTATCTCCAATGTAAGGAACATCTAAAACAGCTAATGTCGCCAATTCATGAACATATATATAGACTCTGGCAGCATTTGAACAGCTGATAAGGAAGATTCATCTTCCTGAGTTCAAATCTGGCCTCAGACACTTATTAGCTGTGTGATGCTGGGTAAGTCACTTAACCTTGTCTGTCTCCATTTCCTGATCTGTAAAATGAGCTGGAGAATAAAATGGCAAACCACTCCAGGATCTTTGCCAAGAAAACCCCAAATGAGGTCACAGAGAGTTAGACACAACTGAAATGACAAAACAACAGCAAACATTTGTATGGCCCCACTAAATGGATATTATCCAAGTGTTTAGACAGACACATATTTATGGGCACGTGTTTTTCTGTGTATGTGTGCAGCCTAAATTAGAAATACATTGGTCTAGTTTAGATCAATTAAAAATCTTTTCAGGTCAGCAAACACTTTAACGTAAATTCTTCTTCCAGCCTTTCCCCAGCTTTTGAAAGTCATAAGTTGTGTCTATGCAGACACACAGAGATGGTCATGTGCACATATAAGCATGCTCATGTGCTTTTGACTTTTCATTCTGATGTTTTACATCCTAGTGCCAGCAGAGGGAAGAGGACTACAGAAGTCTATTTGAATCAGACATAAAACTTTCACCTAAAATAGATAATTAAGGTTCAAGTGTTTCAGTGTTCTTCTGGGTTGGAAATATCTAGATAACTGTTTCACTACTTTCACTTTGCAAGTTTAGTTCAGGTAATCATGGTACAGCAGAAAGAAATAAGGCATTCTGACGTTTTAGGAGACAATGATATTTAATTTTTTTTTAAATCTGTGTCATAACTTTATTGGCTTAGGAGTGTAGGCCTATCTTATCTGTAACTTTAGAATACATATGTATTCAGTCATTTCATCATGGGGTCTAAGATACTCAAGTGGTTTGCCATTTCCTTCTTCCTGGTAAATGAAGGCAAACAGAGATTAAGTGACTTGTCCAGGATCACACAGCTGGTATCTGAAACTATATTTGAATTCAAAGCTTTCTGACTCTATGCCCAGTGCTCTATACAACGAGTCACCTAGCTGCCTCCCAACGCTCTAAAATAACTGTGATTTTATGTCCCTGTGAGCAAATACACAAATTGGCTTTTAAAAAAATTGAGATTTGATCATTTTCTGGCTAATGTGACTAATGATTGTAGTCAAATTAGATTTGCGACTAAGAAAAAAAAATCTACTCCCCTTTCTCCAAATGAACACATAGCCTATTCATCACTTACCATTTGTTTTGTTTTGGATTTTTTGTTGTTGTTGTTATGACATTTAGAAAAAAGCAAAAGAAGACAATTATGACCCAAACTTACCTGTAGTCCAGGCTTATAACTACCCTCAGTATTATCCAGAAGCAATGTCTTGTCTGTTGCATGAAACATTAAAACACCACTATTAAATTGCCACTTGGTCTCCTAAGCTGAGCTTTCGTCAAAGCCAGAGGGGAATATATGCTTCAGTAATAGCTGTAAACCTCTGCATGCTACTGTGAGCACACATTAAAAAGTTTTCTACTCTTTGGCTATAAGAATTAACTGGCAAAACTAGACATGTAAATTTCTTTTCCTTCTTCTACTTTCACCCCTAAAGAAAGAACCTTAGTGGAATGGCAAATCTGTCACTCAATTTTCAGGAACAATGATGAACTGGGAGACCGCAGAAGGCTGAAATCCACGGATAATTAAAAATTTAATTCTCAAAAGTTTAGATTGATTTCCTGCCGAACCATTCCCCACAGCTATTCACCAACAGAATCTACTGCCCTAATGCTGGGTCTACAGGTCATCAAACACATAAATGAAAACTGAAAAAACCTGGGTCAAACTCCAGACAGTGGGTATTATATGGCCCAAATATCTGCATAAAAGACCACATTGTTTTAAAAATTCTTTATCCATGTGTTTGGCATACAATCTGTAGTTAGGTGGCACAGTAGACAGTGCTGGGCCTGGAGTCAGGAAGACCCGAGTTCAAATGTAGCCTCAGACACTTGCTCCTGTGTGACCCTGGGCAACTCACTAAACCCTGTTTGTCAGTTTCCTCATCTGTAAAATGAGCTGTAGAAGGAAATGGCAAACTGCTCCAGTATCTTTGCCAAGAAAACCCCAAAATGGGTCATAAAGAGTCGAACACCCAATGAAATGACTGAACAACAAATTGGCATATAATCAAACCCCAAATGTCAATTATTCCCATCTTCCCCCCATTCTACAAACATTTATAACATATTACAAGTATACATGTGTTTATTCTTTCATACACATACATATAGGTATATATGCATAATGCATATGTGTATATTCTTCCTTTTAACAAAAAAAAATCACACATAGGTGTAAGGCTGAGACCTATGGATCTAACTGATATAGGGAACTTGAAGAAGAGGAAATTCTTTCACTGATGCAGTTCAGCACCCACTCAGCAACGTTTTAGTTTTAACAGTGTTGCTCAGAATGTTGAAGGAAAGCTAGGTGGTGCAGGGGATAGAGAACCAGCCCTGGAGTAAAGAGGACTTGAGTTCAAACACTTACTAGCTTTGTGACTCTGGGTAAGTTACTTAACCCTGACTGCCTCAAAAAAAAAATTAGTGTTGCTCAGAACACTGGTAAGTTAGATGACTTTCCCAGGGTTACCAAGCCATTATGTAGCAGAAGTGGGGCTTGAACCCAGGTCTTCCTGGATCTAAGGAAGCTCTCTATAGCATACTGTTTCTCTCATACAAATATGTTCCACCCTTTCCCACCCCCAGGGATGACCTCTGCATTTCAATAATGTGCTGCTATGTTTCTAAGCCAATAGATAACTTCTTTGCTGAGCAAGGAAGCAAATGGGCTAGAGGGTGGCAATGTCACAAAATCATTTAAGGGATTTAATTCAGATCAAAGCTCATGGCTTCTAAGATTCCAACACTACATGCTATTTTTCCCCTCAAATTTTTGATAGCCAAGTTACTACAGATAAAGAGTAGTGGAACGTTCACTGCAAGGACTTTGTCTTACCCAGGACATACAGACATGAAGCCAAAGTGGGCAAAGAAGTAATTACCAAGTGTAACTGATCCATGTAGAAAGAGTCTAAGAGCTTTCTGGTGAATCAAACCTTTTCAGGAGTAGTTTCATCTTTACCTCATTTCTGAATTGTACAGATAATTAATTCTTCATTTTGCTCTGCTAGTAAGTGTAACATAGACTAGATAAAAAGTGTGTGGCTTACACACGTAAGTATGTTGAAGGAAAATAATTGTAGATCAGTTTACATTTTTCCAATCAGGTTTTGAAAACATGAATATGTTTCTTTCAGGCAAAATCAACGATGTCAAAGGGGAGGTTCCCCATACTTACCCTCATGTACAATATGTTAAATGAAGGAGTCTTTATTATTTATATGATTTTTAAATACTCTTTTTGTTTTGTGCAAAGAAATCATTCAGAACCTATCAAGAGAGTTATTTATTTATTCAGTCCATTCTACAAACTCCACTCGTGATTGATAGGCCACGCAAACTGGAAAAAAAAAGTCAAAAAGAAAAAAAGAAAAAGACATTGTCGTGCACAGAGATGTTCTTACCTGCATAGAATTCAGGACTATACACTGCGCCCACAACTGGATTCAATTTCCAGCCTAAAAAATATAAAAAGTGGCCCATTGACATCAAGACCACAAAGAACAACACTGCATACTTAAAAACCCATCACATATAGTTTCACGACTGTTTGACAGTGAAGGATGCACAGTGGCATGATGCAGAAGTCCAAAAAATAGGTTCAGACCCCGCCCTTTTCACTTGCCAGCTGTGTGATGTGATTTAAAATCTTTGAGCCTCAAAATCTTCCTCTATAAAGTGATGATAGTATTACTTAGGGAACTGACTACCTCACAGGGTTGTTGTAAGAGTGAAATGAGGGGCAGCTAGGTGGCGCAGTGGATAGAGCACCAGCCCTGAAGTCAGGAAGAGCTGAGTTCAAATCCAATCTTAGATCAAACACTTGCAACTTACTAGCTGTGTGACCCTGGGCAAGTCACTTAACCCCAATTGCCTAAAGAAGAAACAAACATATACATATATATATATATATATATATATATATACACACACACATAAAATGTATAATATTAGTGTGAATTAACTATGTGATATTTTCAAACTCTTTAAAAATTGATATGCCAAGTATATTTGCTGTGATAGCTATCAATAAGGCAGCATATTCAATTATCAATAATTATTATTTAAGGAAGTATTGATATTTGATATTCACATTTTTTTGATTTATTAAGATCTTGAGGTCAGGTATGGTTTTCTATCCCAAATGAGTGAAATGAGATAGTTAACTGTGCTTTGTAAACTATAAAGCATTATGATGAACACGTATAATAGCAGTAGTAACAGTGGTAGTAGTAGTATCTTTTTTTGGTCATTAAAAGAAGTTTACAAAAATATTCATGTGAAAAAAATATACCGCCATACGTGTTTCTATGTGCATTTTGTGATATTGTACAACAAGGAAAAATAATGCAACTAAAACTTCTGACCATCTTTTTGAAGGTAAAATCTTCCTGAAAATGACCTGGAAAGAAGTAAACTCCCAAGTAAATACTTTTTGAAAGTCTCTCCCCTCAATCACCACAATAAAATTATATTCTTTTTATAAATAATAAATTATAATTATTTATAAATGGGATATAAATGTTATTTTTAAATAGAATATAATTAATTTATAATTTTACCATTCTTTTTCTTTAAAAACGCAAGGTACTTCTTTACCTAGAATCCAAAAATATCAGATTTTTTTTTGCAGTATTTTCCAATAATAATTGACAATAACCCTAAGTCTGTCTCATTTCCTGAAAGAGCTTTTCAGTTACCAATGGGAAGCATGCTTTGTATAATTTTAGTGTGAATTAACTACGTGATATTTTCAAACTCTTTAAAAATTGATATGCCAAGTGTATTTGCTATGATAGCTATCAATAAGGTAGCATTTTCAATTATCAATAATTATTGTTTAAGGAAGTATCGATATTTGATATTCACATTATTTTGATTTATTGAAATCTTGAGGTCAGGTGTGGTGTTCTTTTCCAAATACCTAGTCCAATGCCTTCCCCTTACTTAATAAGTGTATTCCAGCCATTCTTCAAAAAACAATTACAATTTTACTTTAAGCTGAATCCTAGCCTAAACTTAAAAAAAATTCATACTTAAAGTCATGATTCCTCCATTTGTTTGTGTCTCTCTCTACATAAAATATATTCCAGACCTCCTTTTGATAATTTTTTTTACTAATTAGGATTTTGTTTATTTATCTATCTTTTCAAATCCAACCCAGTGTTAAATATATTCTACAATAACACTGTTCAACATCGCAAGTAGGTGACCCTGGGTTCAAATGTTATGGCAGGGGTGCACAGGCTCTGACAGGTATTATACTCCAATGGAAAGGCTTTAAGTACAAGCCTGATGATGGACTGGCTCTTCATCCTCCAAGAATGTGCCTAGCTAATTTGAGAGAGGCTCATAAACAAAAGGCTGGCCATGAGGTGATCAATTTTGTTTTTGTTTTGGGTCACAACCCCTCAGAAGGAGTGTCTGCTAAAGCAGAAAGGTATACAAATTTCTATTATTAAAGAACATACACAAAAATGAAATTGTGTATCATAGAAATTAATGGCGGCATAAAAAATTAAATGTCAGTTTTCAGAATCAATGCTTTTAAGTATATTCACTTTGCTGTGTAGGAAGTCCTGAATTCAGATTCTACCTCAGACATTTACAAGCTTTGTGACCCTGGTCAAGTCACTTAACCTCTGTCTACCTCAGTTTCCTCAATTGTAAAACACAGATAACCATAGCACATACCTCCCAGGGTTGTTGTGAAGATAAATTGAGATATTTGTAAAGAACCACTTAAAGAACTATATAAAATATGTTATTATTATTAAGGCTACTGACATATCAATGCCTTCAGATCTAGCCCTCCAAAAGTAATCTGACTTATACCTATGAAAGAGAACCTGGGGTTCCAAAAGAACCCCAGATTTGGAATGATAAGTCATAAGATAATTTGAGTTAATCTAACTCCTTTATTTTTGGATGAGGACACTGAAGTCCCAGGAAACAGAAACTACTGGTGCAGAATAGTACAGGTACAAGAACACAAATAAGTCATATTTAGTTTGGACTTTATGCAGAGAATCATTATCCCTATTTCACAGATATAAGGACACTGAGGCATTAAAAAGTCAAATATCGAGCAAATTTTGTAGCTGAAATTAAGGGGGCTGAATGAGATGACCTCTGAGGTCCTTTCCTACTTGAAAATTCTACAGCCCTGTGAAATTTCAATGCATGCTCAAGGCTCAGAAATCAAAGGTGCTTAAAGAAAATAAGGCAGTGGGACTAATGAGGTTCTTATTATCTCTATCTTCCTTTAACTCAGAAAATTACAGGCAGGCAAATTTTGATTCAATAAAAGGAAGAACTCCTTTGTAATAAATAAAATTATTCAATCCAATGAACACTTGTTAAATAAGTGAAAGACACTGGACTAGGTATTTGAGATAGAAAACAGCATGCAGTTCCCAGACCTCAAGATTTCAATTAAAATAGCAACCATGAAACTATGAGCTTTAGCTTGAACTCTATCCTTTTTGCTAAAACAGATAGTTTCCACTTTTATAATGACTTCTTATAGGAAAATTCTTAGAGCCTATCTGTATGATTGGCATGGGTTACAGGTGTCACATTAATTCTGGTTAGGTTTTCCTGGATCTAGGCAGGAAGGAAGGTCTGGATTTACCCTTGCAAATTTGTAAAATTTGCTTTCATTTGTTTTTCCCAGGACAGTGTTAAGCCATGCCCCTAAATGAAAAAGTTCCACTAAGGGTACTGCAATGGATACCAATTATTCAGAGTCCATTGATCATAGTATACTAGATGATGAACAATTTGAATGAATTTTGGACCTGCCAGCTCTGGCTGATGGAGTTCTCTAAGATTGTAAGTTATATTAACAGCCTCTCATTTTATCTAAGGCGGAAAAAAGAAAAAGGTCTTCAGAGATCCCAGTTGATGCCCAGAGCTGAATTACTGTCCCCTCCCCCATACCTCATTTTCTTCCTGTTCTCTATTTTCAGTGCTGGAGTGTTTAACTTTTTTGAAGCCAGCATGGGGAAGGCTTCATTCATCATGAAAATAACAGCAATTAAACTTTACTCTGTCTTGTCAGGGAGGTCTGTGCTAGCCCATAACTGCGAGGGTTAATCAAGTGTGATGAGAACTGACTTCTTCTGAGCAAAGAGCTGCCAGGAAACCTTGGTGCAAGAGGAGAAGCAAGAAAATCGCCCCAGTAGGTGTTATTGTTCACGTCTTAGTGGGCACATCTTTCTTAGTGTCACTGCTCTCCCTATCCTTGTTCCCTTTCCCCAGAGTGTGTGTGTGTGTGTGAGCCAAGCACTCATACAATGCATTTTAACTTTAAAGCTCAAACATGCATGGGAAAATAAAAAGTGTTTTTTGCTCTACAGACACAGTATGTGGAATTCACAGTTCTCATTAGAAAGAACTGTTCCCATAACTGGCTCAAGAACTATCTAGCCCAACAGTTATTTTGGAAGGCTAATATCATCCTCATCCTCTTTTATCTCTTCCTATCAACCACTATCCTGTTCTATGCTAGACAATTAGTGAAGGAGGAGGAGTCAGTGATGATGGATGATACGAGTAACAAAAAAAAATAAAAGACAAAGAAAAAGAAATAACCTTTAAAGGAGAAACAGTAGAGTTTGGCCCTGAAAATGTCTCTGAACAGATATACACATGTGGAACTGTTATGCAAATTTCATGCAAATATACACGTATACGGCCCAACCTAGAAGAGGCCCTTGGGACAGCCTTGCTAAAGACAATGATCTTGCACTGTCAGGAAGATGGACATGGTAATCCCAGAGATTGCTCACATTTTTAATTTCTCAGCTTGTTTGTGTATTTCCCTAGGCCTTCCAAATTTAGAGATTTTGATCAAGGACATTAAACCAAACAATGAAACTTACAACCAAAGAAAAACAGCTGACAAAAGCCTGCAGTTCTCAACATCCCAGGGCCTCAGGCATGCTAAAGCAACAGAGCAGAGACTTAAGCTATTACAGCCCAAGTCTCTGCTTCTGAGACATGGACATGTGCAAATCAACAGGCAAAAGCTTGTGTGTCCACAACACTTCAGAAAAAATCACATTTTATGATTTTCCTCTCTGTGTACAGTTTCCAAACAAACTGCCAAAAATACTCAACTTTAACTACCTGTAAAAGTGCTCTGAAAAGGCAGATCTATATTTGGATAAAATCAATCAACGTATATGTCCTTTTGAGTTTCTGGAACAAAGATATCCTATATAATGCACTCACAAATGTTTTATATGCAATTTCACTATTATAGGAAATGAATGTAAGCTAAAATGTGCATGATACTTCAGGGGTGGAGAACCTGAGGCCTTGAGGCCACAGGTGGCCTTCTAGGTCCTCAAGCGCAGCTCTTTGAATCCAAACTTCCCAGGATTTGTTCTGTAAAACTTAGATTCAGTCCAGGGACCACACTTGAGGACCTAGAGGGCCACATGTGGCTTCAAGGCCACAAGTTACCCATCCCTGTTAGGTGTTCCAAAGACAGCTGGCTATCAAGCTCACTAAGCTTAGTTTTTAATTATATTAGGACAGGAATTAGAAAGTGAAAAATTAAGAAAACCAGAAAAATTGGAAAAAAGCTAGACCTATTAAAACCATTCAGGTCTACAGAAAAACTAGAATTTTTAACCAGGAAAGGTTATTTATTATGTTCTATAGAAAATCAGTTATATTAGTCCAAAATTTAGGTTAGCTAAGATTCAGTTCACATTCCTCTTTTTCCTTTCTTACTATCTCTCCAGGCTAAGAAGTAAATGAAGGAGTGGCTACTTATGAAAGCAAATAATCACCACTGACTGAGGGAGGGACAGGGGGAGACATCTTGCAGTCCTATTGCTAATCCTTAGCATTTGCAAAACTCAGTTTTGGCTTCTATATCAGTAAAAAAAAATTTTAAAAAGCGTCTAGAGTCTTCTCATTTATACAATTTCAAGTCAAAACATCTTTCATATATTTCCTATTATTTGCCCCAAAACCACCTCCTTTAACTTTTCAGGGGTACCCTGCCTTTCAAGAATACTTTTATGCTCACTCTTTCCTATACCCTTTATAATTTCATGAATTTTAATTGTATAATACTCTTGAAGTGGAGTGTCTTAGAGGATAAGAGCTGACCTTTGAGTTAGAAAAACCTGAGGTCAAGTCCCTTATCTGACATATGCTGGCTATGCCATCAAGCAAAGCCCTTTAACTTCTCAAAGTTCTAGAAAACCGAAAACTACAGGCTGTAGGGGAGGTGCTGACCTACAATGGTAGAGACAGTTTCCTTATTGGAGAGATCTCTACATTAACAAAATCACACATCTAATCATTATCCCTATACCCTTCATCTTTCCAGACTGAAGAGTTAATTGCTATAGATAAAAGATCTCCTATAGGAAGATTATTGCTATTAATAAGTTATCCTCTTGTGGCCAAAAGTAAAAAGGGATGGACAATGGAAAACATACTTGTCCTTAGAAATAAACTCCTTGGTCTCTCTTACAGTTATATGGAATGCATCAGTAGCTTTTGTGCCACACTATTACAGGAACCAATGTTATCAAAGTGTATTATTCCCGCAATTAAAAAAGCATGAGAACAGGTGTGTGGAATCAGAGAGTACAGAGATGGTATACATATACATATATATATATATATATATATATACATATATATATATATATATATATATATATATATAAAAAACAATCACCACTGCTTCATAATTTAAGATAATGAGACCCCATGGACCTGAGGTTTTCATAATACTGGAACAACTGGATTTAGATTTGTGATCCAGCTAAATGCCCAAGATTGTATTTAAAAAAAAAAATCCTTCATATGACCAGTTGTTATAAGCAGCAGTTACTGAGGCGGTTCCTCTACAAGAATGATGACAAAGCAAAAATAAAAGGTGGGAAATGGGGAAGAACATCCACTTCTTAAAAATATTCAGCAGCTAGGCTATCACATATTAACCATGGCTAGCTGATAATGGTCTTAAAAAAACCCACTTAAAAAAAACACATTAAAGAAATTACACGAAACATTCTTTAAAAGGCTGATTCATTTAAGTACTGGATTGCCTCTTTCTAATGTGGAAATGTCCCTTTAATGGCCCAGGTCATCAAAAGGAAATTGAGGCAAAGAGAGGAATGGTAGAAAAAAATAACCTGCCATTTAGTCATTCAGAATATAAAAGAAGACTGAAAATGATCTAAAATTAAGAAAAGAAAGTTAAGGGTTGTCATTGTATGATGAAAGTCAATTAACAACCAATGTACTGCCCAGGGGTTGAATTTTAATTAAAAAAAATCCTTAACAATGATAACATCTAAATAAATGATATTATTCTTCAAGGTGCCATAATACTTGTCTGTACAACATTTTTTTGTGACATAGAGAGGGGGTATAAAACAATAATGTGGAAGGGGTGGCTAATATATAGGAATGATCTTAACATCTCCCTTCTTTTTTCTTTCTCTCTTCCTGTTACAAGGACAATCATGATAGAACTCAAAGTGGTACTTGCTTGCATGGTCAACTCTTTTCATTTAATTTAGCCAGGCTATGCCCATTGTGATTCTACCCAACTATAAATAGCTATGGATCTAGTGCGCAATACCAATAAAGATTGAAATCAGGCCAAATTCTAATGTGACAGTGTCATAATTTCCTGGTCAGTATGAAAGAAACTAAAAGGGGGGGAAAAGGAATTTTTCCTCCACAACTCTGTTTTCTTACTTCTAACAACTAGTCTAACTGACCCTACAACAATGAGAGTATCATCAAATTGGGACTACCCTGGACAGGCTGAAAGAAAAGACTAGATGCTTAACTAGACCAGCAAAAGGGCAGCTTCTCTGTAAATCCCCCAATTTGTTCAAAAGATAACACTGTACTAAATTTGTAAAATAAAACAAGTTCCCGATGATGAGAGACATGCCCAGCTTAAGGAGCTGCCCTAATTACTTGTTTTTAATTCGAAGGAAGAACATAACTGTCCCACGAAAGGTGTAACTGCACTTACCATTTGTATAAGGGTTGACCGTCTTTTTATTTGTCATTACACGTGCTGTAGCATTATTTACCTAAGTACACAGAAAATCAAATTAGTACATTTTGCTGAGCAAGGTTGTAATTCTATTAATTGCATGCATTATGGCTACTAGTATATAAAAATGCAATTTAATTTATAAAAGGCAGTAGGTGCATAACAAAATCATACTATTTATAACTACATTTATTTCATAACCATTTAAACTTACAAATCATTTCAATAAAGCAACATCATATCATTTAAAAGTTTAATAAAGAGACATTAAAAGCAAATTAAAAGGTACTGCATAATTGAAGATTAAAAAGCATGCGTGTACTCCATGATAACACTGAAACAATAAATATTTAAAAACAGAAAAAAAAATCTCTCATATGAAGGACCATGCAGTGAAGTAGAAGGACAAGGTACAAGGAAACAGAAAATGTCAAAAAAAGGGACAAACAAATTTTAGCAGTGTGCAACATAACCCTTTAGAAGATAAGTACCATTGGAAAAGCAACATCTAGCATTCAGCACTGGAAACAAGAGCCTTTTTCATTGCAAGAATTAACAAAATCATTCAAGCTTTAAAATCACAGCTAACAAAAGGATAAAAAGAGGGTGCATTATTTAACACAATATGGAGTTAACAATCTGAGTAAGATGTGCACCAAGTCATATCCTCAGTCCAGTCAGTGCCTCCCAGGCTTGCTTAAAACGTACACTCAATTACAGGCGTACCAATATCGAAAAAAATAGAGCATCAAGAAAACTTAATACAACAAGTCAAAAAGATTCACGTGGTATAGATATAGATATAGATATAGATATCAGCGCTAAATACGTGAAACGGCAGATGGACTTCTCCACTTACCATTCAGCACCATCGCCAGCATGGGTATGTATACAGTTACCATGGTTACTGAGAGTTTGGTGAGGGGCCTAAGCGCTACCGTCGAGGGGGAAAATGAAAGGCAAAATATGCAACATCTTACTCCAAGACTACAGCATTTTCAATTGGTATTTTTTTCTTTTTAAAATTCTAACAATTATAATCCTATGGCAGTGTTGAGGGGGATCCGGTGGTAGAAAAAGAAGGCTCTCTATGTAAACATTTTATTGCTTCCCCACTTTTTTTCCTTCTAGAGAGGGCACAGGCTACTAACCCTAAAAACACGCCTGTTGATTACTCTGATTTTTCTTTAAGAAGCAAAATTTTTTTTCTTTTTTTTTAGTAATGCTTTGTGTTTCCCAATTTGCTTATAAAAAAAAAAAAAGCCACTGCAGATCCCTCATCAACCCTGCAGCAGAAAAAAAAAGCTGCTTTGTTTTTGGTTTGCTCTGTCATGCTTTTCTATTGTTTGGAATCTACTGCACCCATTGATTTACAAAACATTGAAAATAATAAGTTCAAAAGATTAAGCTTTCATTTGTCTCATTTCTGTCATCCACCTTTCAGCAATAAGAATGAGAATAATAAAATAAAACAAAACAAGTAAGGCCAGATTTCCTTTTTTATATATAAATATATATATAAACAATGGGAAGGGGGGAGGGGCGCACACACAGGACACCAATGATGCATCTGAAACAACGTATGAGAGTGAAGCAGACATTTATCAAAAAGATGAAAAGGAAAATATTTTGAACATGCACCTCGATTTTACGGCCCTCTACCACGGTGCCGTGTAATTTCTCCCTCGCCCTGTCCGCATCGGCACTATTTTCGAAAGTTACGAAACCAAATCCCTGCATGCAGGAGGGAGAAGGGGGGAAAACAACATGCACATTATTATTTCAATCAATGATCACTTTTTAAATGTTCTCTCCATTTAATTTCTATCTCTTGTCCTTGCTTCATTTCTGTAACATGCAAATTAGAGAAATTATAAGAGTACTAAGATGTGCGATAAGTAAGAGATAAATGTGAACAAGTTTCCTCTCTTTTCACCAGTTAGATATACCCCCTAAAGAATTCAAAGAATACCAAAAATACCTTTCTAAATGTCACTACAGAGGAAAATAAATCTAACAGAAAGAAAATGAGATCAAAATAAATTTACAGTGTCTTCACAGAGAATAAACTGAAATAATGAGAAGATAAAGGGAACCACTTTTTGACATGCAGATCTTAAAAAAATAAAATAAAATAAAACAAATTAAATTGTGCACAAAATTCAACACTGAATGCCAGTATACTCTAAAACATTGCCTACAGAGTCATGCCGTGTGGTTGTAAGAACATTTCTTCTTCATGCAACACTAGGGTTATTTAATTTTTTTTCAAATGCTACACAGCCTTTACTTATTAAAAATAAATTAAAACCCTCACAAATGAAAGATCTTTCATAATAAAGCTTAAATGTTTTAATTTTATAAACAAAAATCACTTGATGTGAATATAAATTTCAACTAAGAATGCAAATAGTTCAAGGAATGTTTTAAGCACTTTACATCAACACCTTTTTTAGGTCATGTGCATGCAAGTTCAATTGCCTACTTTCCTTACTACCTTATTAACAAAACAGAAATGCTTGTACTTGCTGAGTAGTTTTGAGACATTGCTATTACATAAATCAGTTCTTTAGGAAAATGCAAGTATATTTATCTAGAATACATTATTTATAACATTATTTTAAACACCTCTCTGGTTGCTAATAGTTGATTTTTAAAAGTACATTACTGGCATATTTTTATTTTACTATTACAGTTTCATTAATTAACACTAAACTTAAAATTGTTAAAACACATGCATTTCTTCCCTGACACTGCTACCTAAGAAGACACCTCCCTCCTCCAAATGATACTGTTTTTGAAACTCTAAAAATAAATTGCATATTATGTTCAGAAACCTACTCCAACCCTTTGAAACAATTCCAGTGTAAACCTTGTTCATTTTGCTCCCCCCACTTTCACTTGATAAACTGGGGTTAAATACGACAGAGTTTAATAATACTATCATTACTAATGAATGCTCTTTTAAGACTTGTTGGGGCTTCCATATTGCACAAAATGTGTCCATTTAAAAAAATGGGTTGATGAATTAAACATTTAGGCTAGCTATTTTTATTATATTTATAGGTTGAACTCAGCCATCTAGGATATTCAGAGGCCAAAAAGAAGCACCTAGAGACTAGCTCTTGAAAGGCAAGGACCACCAGTTTTGTACCCTACAATTAGAATGGAAGGTAGCCTGATTCCATGTGTTAGGTAATTTAATTATGGCATGGCATTAATATAAAACCAAAATCAGGTTTTTCTCCCTTTATAAATGGATGGACCAACTATCAGATTCTCTTTCATGGCCTTAGAATTCAAATTCGCAGTCATAATACAAATGTGTGCTATTGGTTACAAGGACAAATATCTAAGCCAAAGTATATGAATGATTCTATTGAACCTATGTGTTACTACTGAAAAACAAAACAAAAACCCAACAACTTTAAGCAAATGGTCTTAAATATGGGGGCTCAACAGCATCATTTTTTGCGTAGAAAAGATTTTCTATATGAAAGATGACATTCCAAATCATATCAATTTTTCAGGACAATGTGTCTGTCCAAGTCTGAAATTTATAGATTACTTGACTCAATATTCTCTTAAATAAACTTATGATATTCAAAGTTAGGGACTGTTTTTTATAATGCCAGTTTGATCCTATGACAAATCAAAGTGACCCAAAGGGTATATCAGGAAGACAGAGTATGATAAAAAATTTCTCCGACTTGAATCTCAGAGAAAGATATTGGAAAGGAAACTCCTAATATATTTATAATCTTTTGCAAACTAAATTGGTTTCAAAATGGATTTAAGTTATAAAGTTATATTTGATTTTATTTTTCTAGGGTTAAACATTCTCAAGCAAAAATGTCAGTTGCAAGATATTGGGATGAGCAGTAGAAGCTAGGCAAATTTGGTGTTAGAGATGTTCAGTGATAGCAGGATCCAGAAAGAAGGCCAAAAATAAAATTTTGATTTCATGAAGAGTGTTGGAAGGCAGTTGGCATAGCTAGGTCTTGATTAGTGTGAATAATGAATTCCTGTCAAGTGTTGCATGTATTTTGAATTCACGCTATTATAACTTAAAATTATGTAAAATATGGTAATTGGCTACAGTCCAATGGAAATATGCAGTACAAGTTCAAATAATGCAACCACTTCATAAGATTACTGTTCACACTAATTGGGACCTGACTGTATTCCATTCTTCTAGCTAAAAGGATTCAAGGACCAAGAGGTAGAGCAGATTTTTAGAAGCTTCTCAGATAGAGGCTAAGATCAGATTGGGAAAACTGTACATCATTGCTTATAAAAAATCAGTACCATCTTATTTATAAAATGATCTGCCAAATTCCTTACATTTCATAGTTGGTGATAGTCCTGTATGGGAGGAAAAGAAATCTTCGGTCTTCCATGATAGAACTTCCTACAGCTAGCTGCATAGGTAGCTATTCCGTGCTTGTAAATGGAATTATTATTAGAGTATGTAGCCTTCAACTCAAACTGAAGGAGTCGGAAAGTTAAACTTGGTTTGGATTCAAAATTAAAAAGCAGAACAGCTAGTGATGTAACACCTGACAGTTGTGTTTGATTTCCAAGAAAGGGCTACATTGAAAATTAAAAAGTTCATTGATGGCAGATGAGGAACACTCTTTCCTGGATAACATAAACAGAAATATGGTGTCAAGACAAGAGAAGATGTCAGTTTAGAAAGAAAGCTATCTGAAGAGCAGAGGACAAAAAAGACACTGGGGCGAAGTCTGACAGAACGAAGGAAGGAAGTATTCTGGCAATTAATTACCTGGTTATTACATCATTGGAGCCAAATTAGCTAACTCAGAACCCAAGGTACATTGCTTAGCCTGGATTATAAATGTGCTCCAATGCTAAAGGGCATCAGCAACTTCTACCATAAAATATACCAGCTTGTTCCCTTTTTCAAATTTGGTATTACAGGAATCCTTTTTTTTTCTTTTTTCTTTTTTTTTTTTTTTTTGCTGTTGAATGAGAGTAAATTATTGCCCTCAGAAGACTCTACAGCCTTCTGGAATGCGGAATGAATAGAATCTAAACTAACCTTCCACTAACATTAAAACACCCAACAGTTATCTTATTTCTGAGAGAGATATCACAGAAAGTATGGCGAAAGTCTAGGAACATGTGAGTCGAAGAAGCTGGGCAACATAGAAAAGAATATAAGAAGTTCTTTATTAAAAGTTTGGATAGAACTTCAAAACCTAAAACCTCAGGTAGGCTAGTCCTGGCACCAGAGATATAGAGAGGTCTAAGTAAGCCACTTCTCTCATCTGTAAAATGAGAGGAATGAGCTAGATAATTTCAAAAGTTCTTTCTAGGGCTAAAATGCTGTTATCCTATAATCATTTAATATGTGAGTTATACCTAAGTTATAACTATGAAACCATAGTTTATATATATATATATATATCATATAACTATGAACTATATTTCTGAAGATATTGCTGATTTGTGAATATTGGTATTTTTACTTGCTACCATACCCCATTCTTATGTACATCTATTAAATAGGCAGATATATGTTGCTCTTTGCAGTAGAAATGTAGCCAAAATGGTAGATAATTTTAATTTTTACCAACAAAATCAAATTTTATTTCTATTGGGAGTACTCACTATTTAAAACAACTTTAAAGTCAATCTCAAGCCAGATCCAAATTTATATGGTTGTTTTCAAAGCGTTATTTACTTTTATAACCTATAGCATTCCTACTTGTGTAATACAAATAAATATTAACAAAGAGAGATAAAAAATAGATCTGTAATTTCATTGGTTTAAGGGGGTCCCAGTGAGGAAACTTCTCTTTTACTACAAGTTAGTACTTTATCTACAAATAATAATCTCAGAGAGTTGCCTGGAGTACCACAAGGTTAGGTGACCTGCCTAGGGTCAGATAGCCAGAATTTTGGTAGAGGTAGAGGTGGGATTAGAATTCAGGGTCTTCCAGCCTCCCAAGACCATCTCTATATCCATCATGCTGCATGGCCTTTCATATATAAATAAAACTTGGTATAAATTCCTGAGATGATAATAGCATCCTCATTTAATACTAATGAAGTATCCCTAGGTGGGACTAATCACTCTATTAAGTAAATATTCAAAATTATTCAGTTTGGCCCTCAACAAACTTACCTATTTGTTGACATTTTCCTAATTCAAAATGATACCAGTGAGGCCATTATAATTTTTCACCCATTAAAATAGATGTTTTACTGTAAATAAGCTTACCTTCATCAAATCAAACTGATAATAAATATCAGTTAAAGGAAAACAAAATATTCCTAGGGGTATTAATGCTCCAATTTAGAAAGTCACCACTGTTCTGTCTTTTCTATGTCAGGACCTTCTTATAGAAGGATCCCGATAAACACACCTATAAGAGTAACTCTTTACTAGGGAACATACTGAGTGCTCTACACCCAATAAGAGGAGCTATTTTTAATGTTTCCCAATCAAAAAAGGGAGATATACTAAAATATTTCATGAGATGCAATTGTAAATGGGCTTATTCCTAAGGTTCCCGGTGTCAGGCAAATCATGGAGATGATGGTAGCCTTAAAAATAGCGGCATCATTGTACTTTCTGAATTGCAAATGATATTCTTCTAATGTCCCAAAACAGCTCAGAAAAAGCAGGCTTATGAATAAAATGTGTTCTATGTATTTATACATAGATAGCTGTATGTAAATGTGTTTATGCTTATTTATATACACACATATACTGGCAAAAATGTAGAAAATGTTTTGCAAAAGTTAAATGCAATTCTTCAGACACGGACTTGGAAGAAAATCTGTAAAAATCTAAGTCAGGCTTTGATTTTTTTTTTTTTTTTTGCCAGTACATTAATTAGACCTGGGTGAAAAAAATTACCAAAAAAATTTAATTCACTTTGTTAATGTAAAAACTTCTCTAATGCTTCTTAAATATTTGAGATGAAAATATATGATTTTAAAGGTCAGAGGTCAAAATATTGAACTGCTAGAAAAAAATGACCATAAAATATCTGACATGGTAGGTATATATGACAGGGTTCTTAAGGCAGCAGAAGAGAAAGCAATAATGAACTAATTTCTCAATCTTCCATACTAATAAGCATTATCAGTACTGTGGCAGGGAAAGAGTACTACTTCCCCCAGAATTCTCTTCTTTGGTTAATTTTATGTCTATTTGGAAGGGAGACTGCTGAATCTCTTACAGCAGTGGTATCAAAACTCAAATAGAAACAGGGAACAGTATTCTGTACATAAGAATGCCTATGGACTGCATATTAACCTAGTTTTAAAATGTAATAGTATGTATATTTCATTTTATTTTATTTTCACTTATTTTGTTAAATGTTTTCCAATTACATTTTAATCTGGTTTGAGCTACATTAGGGACTGTTGTGGGCTGCTTGTGGCCTGCAGGCCACATGTCTGGCTCCTGTTTTGGAGCACACAGTTCAATAAAGGAATAATGCTTTTTCCTCCTTTGAGGGGTTAAACACAAAAGAGCTAACTGCGGACTACTATACTTAAAACCAACTCTTTAATGCCTGTAGGTCAACCTAGATCACAGCTCATTTCTGACTCTATGGCCCAAGGAGTATCATAAAAAAAAAAAAGATGGTATGCCTGTCTGGTAGGTGATTTCTTGCTACGTAATTAATTTGTAGTACATAAGTATAGAGACAGCCTAAGATTTGTTCCATCAGTATAAGGGCAATACAGCATTGGACAATAACTTGATCTCAGATTTGAAAAAGGGGAAAGCAGGTTGGGAGGCCTTTGGGAAACTGTACAGTGCTTTTAATGACCCTCTCACCTCCTGCTTCTGCTTACAAGAAAGGCCCATCTTTTTAACACCAATATCCTTTTGGTAATGCTGTATTGCTATCAGCCATACAACAGTATGGTCTGCAAATATTTAAAGTTGTGGATCACCCTACAAATAAGAGAAAGGTTCATGGTGGGTGTGAAGAGGCAGTGACATATTACGAATGAAGGATTATGCACAAGTGCATAATTAAACTATGAGAAATATATATGAATAGAAAAAGAAACAAAGCAGTCATGTTGCAAGAACAAGAGACAATCTGATGTTTAACCACTGTGCTCCACTGATATTTGAACACAATGCCAAGAGATCAGATATGTTGGGTGGACTGCCATGGAAGATTTACACGTGGATCTAGACAAAAAGTCTCATAGGAAGAGATGGCTTAGATGGGTTGCCATCTGTACTACTGAAGGTAGTACTCACATTAATGAAATCATAGTTCGATCCATCGAGGTATTTTACCATAGCGAAAAGAAAATAGGACTTGAAATTTCTAATACTCTAAATCACAATCTCCTCCCTACTACATTCCCTGTTATGAACAAAAAATGCCTTATGGAAAAACTGGGAATATTATAGTTACACCCTTTCAAGTTGCAGAGATAACTTTCAGTAAATTACTTAAATCATTTTCTTAAATGGTACTATGGTGCTGTGATAGGAAGAGTATACCTGCAAAAATATTTTACCTATTAACTCCTCCTAGGAATAACTGGATATTGTATATGAGTTCACCGTGATCCCAGGCACATAGGAACCACTCGATATAAACACTGTTTTCATGTGAATGTGAAAGCACATGGAAGATTGTAGGAAAAGAATTAAAGTAAAATGGGAATAAAAAATGTAACTATGTACTTTAAGAAATTGACTTCTGCTTGTTGTATCCCAGGAAAAAACTGGCAAGGAGGAAAATGGAGAAGTTTGGCCTTCTTTTACAAATAATGATTTTATAGTAGCTTCTCACTAATACTAAAATATATAATTATATTTTCAGCCCCCAGAGAGTTTGTCCTAAACTCAGTTTCCTAGGAAACATGAGGTGACAATAATTAGAAAAATTCAAAATATAAATCCATATAGTAAAAATCGGATTGTATTCAAAGGGTTGGTGTATAAGAAGTTTCTTTACTATCTAGGAAAAGAACTGCACTTCAATAATATGGAAAAAAAATCACATTACAAAAAACTTTCTCATGAGAATGCAAACTCATTTTCATATGAACAGTCACCCCTAAAAGACAAAAATACATAAGCATAAACTATCATTATCATTTTAAAGCACAAATAATTTTCAATGAAAATGTTGATATATTCGGTGCTTTTAAAATCTACTTCTTACACATACTAAGCTAGACCCAATAAATTTCACAATGTTTTGGAAACTGTAGCTCTCTAAAGTCATTTCCATTAAATTATACCTTAAAAACATACCATACTTTTATTACATCAGTGCAGTTGTTTCCCCCTTACTCATAAAAATACTTTTAAGTAGCCTAAAATATCCTAGAATGAATTAGACAACTTACCTTTGAGCCTCGCTCATTAAAAATTATTTCAACATCTAAGATTTTACCAAATTGCTGCAAAGAAACAGAAATATATAAACATGAGCAAATGAAAGCACATCATGCTGCACAAACTGGCAATTATTTCAGAGTATGAAAATACTGGTATATCAAAGGCATAAACTGTATTTAATACTCTACAGTTAAAGGGTGTGATTAGAGAGAGAAGCAATCCAACCAAAACTGCCATATTCCCATATTATGAAATCCTGAGGCAGAATTTCTAGTCCAGTATAGGTGACTTATTTGCTGAGTAAATACAAACAAAATATTAATAGTGTTAGGAATGTTTTAGTATCACTGGCCTATTCCATTTTTCAGTGGGGGTTTTTTGGCAACACTGGTTTTCAGCAGGGGTTTGGCCATTGATATGTGATATCATGGCCCTTTCCACTGTGGTATACATAACGGCCAGAGGGCAAGGTAGGGATGACATTAGAGGGCCTGGCTGATGCACATGAAGAAATGGGAATTATACAGATGACCATGTACACACTCAGAACATGTGGATAGCTCTGATTTGTCTTCAGGGTAAACAGTATCTGCCGTATCATGATTCTTTCAATATTATTAGAAAAATGGTCTTTAAAACTATCAGAGTAGCTAAATTGGGGCTCTATGAGAATTCAGTCTTTTAGTATTTATTTATATGTGAGGCTTAGACTTAGAATAGGTTTATTAGTGCTGAAAAATTTAAGAAATACATATCCAGTGTATGTTTTATCCACACTATGAGAGGAGAATAGTCAATAAAAAGTGGCATAGATATCAGTATTAAGCAACCCTCAAATTCATTTCCCTATGGCTTCAAGACAGTTCCCAATAAAATACCTTTCCTGACGCTTTGGTCAGGAACCAGTTTATTTCTAGAGAGCACACCTACTAGAGGTGTACTAAGTGGCCAGAGAGAGTCATCCTGGAATTTAAGATCTACTTCGCTAATAAAAAAAGAGAAAGACATGCATGAATAATTGAAAGTTAACTACCCTTTTCATGATGATAAACAATATTCTGACCTTTAATTTATGACTGTTTTTTCCTCTTATTTTTGCTTTCATTTTACTGTTTGCCTTCCCTACATGTTTTACCTAGCTTATATACTATCTGTCCAAACTACTCTCTAACCCAAGTATTCTTGAGGCTGCAGGCAACCACTAAGTAGAGGTTGCAACCTTGGTTGGTATATAGAGAGAGGAAAAGTAGGAAAATCCATTTGATTAAGACAGTGAAGAACAGATATGACTACATGTGACCAATGCACATTCTCTCTACAGAAACACCAGGAGATTCTGGCAAAGTGAGTCAACCGGGTATTAACAAATCTAGAAGATTCTACAAATGGAAGGTATAAACACTGCTTGGCAATGTATGGTGTAAAGCAGGGTTAAACTACTAGATTGTGCATACATAAAAAATTGTTTTGTGTACAGGTAGAAAGTGAACCTGTTAAAAATAAATTGCTCAAGAAGCTAAGAAAGAAAAATTTTAAATGTAGGAGAAAATTAAGTATAAATTAGTTTATTCCAGAGATTGGGGCTCCTTTCTTTTAACGTAATTATCCAAGACACCCACAAAAATATATTTTTCAGATAAAGTAGGTATTGTCTTCAAAGAAGAGAAAGATTAAGGCACTAAGAAAAGTAAGCTAATCTGTGAAGGACAAAAAAATCCACATTTCTTATATGTAGATCAAAAATGTGTCACATGAATAACTTGGCCAGAAATGATGCAGTGAATATATTGATCATTTAAGAGAGGAGGTAGTCTTACAATGACAAATATGCCTATTGCATGTATGACATTCTCAAAAGAAAATAAGGGGGGGAAAGGATTTGACTTTGAACATTTATTCAATTTGCAAACAAACGAAGATCTTCAGGTCTAGAGAACATTTTTCTGTTGGTCTTTTTCAGTGTTCTGAATTTCAACAGTGAGAATTTTTCTTAAATATAATTCAGCTGGGTGAAATAAAGGATTTGCCTTTCAATAAGAAATTTGCAATTTTATATTAAAAATTAACCAACACCCCATGGCTTCTGTTACTCAGTAGCACTATATTTCTATACTTTTTCTGCTTAGAATATAGGAAAGGCGCAGATTGTTGCAAATTAATCTCAGGAATGAGAGAATAGAAACAAATGTATTTATGGATGGAGAATCATAAAAAAGGGCCCTCCGCTTCCAGTACCCCTTCTAATGACAGGTCTCTGGGTAGACATGATGAAACTCCTGTTCTAAAACCAGGAGTCAGTAAAGACAGAACAACAACAACAACAAAAACCCAAGTAGAATGATTCTATAGTTAATTTGAACAATAATGCTGTGTTCCTGGGATACTTTATGTGGGTGCAAGAATGATGTCTCACTCAGAGTCTATAATATTTAGAGTTATTGAGACAAGTAGTGGAAGAATGATAGAAAGTTTAATTGAGAAGTACTTGAGTAATGATATAAAGACAGTTGGCATATTTTCAATGTAAATTGACACTATACAAGACAAAGACATAACTGGTGTTTGCTCAATAATGCTATTATGATACATCTCAGACTCCATTAAAAAAAAAACATTCTGTTATGCACATCAGACCTTTATCTAAAAGCTTCAAAATAAGGAGTAGAGAAAATAAATGTGTCAAACAGTTGTAGATCATCTTGGATCAAATAATATTTTTCTGAAAAACTACATAGGATGATAAATCAATACAGCATTTAAAAAAAAAACTAAAGTTAGTTTAAAGCACTGAGCATTATGACTAAGAAACAGAATCTTCTAGGCCAGTTTTCATGTGAGTTCAAATATATATATTTAATATCTAGTAATTCTAGATGCCATTAAGAGTGTCTAAAGAGACCATCTCAATGCCCTGAAAAATGAGATATTTGGCATAAACAATGAAGTAGCTATCATATATATTTTTGACTAACAAAATAGTGGTCACAAGATGTAATTTTACATGTTTTGAAAGTCACCTGGTTCATTAATTGAAACTTAAATAGAACATGTTCCCATTCACAAGACTTTAGTTTTGATAAGCAAAACAATTTAAGGATGCTATTATAGTCACTGTTAAATTTTGAAACTGTATTCACTGCTCAGTAGTTTCTGAATATATCAAGGTCAACTACAACCCCACAGTAACTGCAGATGAGAATTACAAACCCTAAGAAAAGATTGAGCAACAATCGAATCATTCCCTCTAGAATCAAAGAATTCTTGAATGAATGCTAAGGGAGGTCAAACTATCTTTTCAAAGGCAATTAAAGAATGTTAAGGAAGTTATGTTATTCCAGAAGTGTGTGAAAGGTTGATGATGCCTATAATGATGAATACTTCCTACCTGAAAGAGATACATGGTTTATGAGGAGAAGAAATTGACAAAAAAATTATGTTGTCACATTATGCCATCAAATTTTCATTCAAATCAATGTTCTTTATAGTATAATTGTTAATAAATATAATTGTTAACAAATACAAAGAGTGAGTCAAAAGATACTGATGTCAGACCATGAATGTCATGATTACATAAACTTCTGTAAATAAATTTGCTTGTTTTCTATTGTGACCTAACAGATTAGCCAAGTGTGGGAAGGAGGGAGAGAGCTAATGATTTATGAGTTATTGGAACACATGCTTCAAAGGACAATGGGTGTATAGAATAAACTCTATCAGCGTCATACTGAAAGGATGCCAAAACATTAATTAAAAATAAAATGGGCAACACTTTTGAAAACCATTTACTATGCTATGATTGTGCTTTAAAGCATTGTAAATTTCATGAAAGTATTAATAATGTTTCCTCTAGTCCAGTTTGGATAATGTCATACACTCAGGCTGGAAGTTAAAGTATTTCTGCATCTTAAGAATACAAATAATTCAGAAATGGACCCAATAAAGAATACAGAGGTTATATCTATATGATGCCAAAACAGGTGGATGTCATTAACCTGTGTTGGCTTACCTTCTTGCTTTCAAATTGTTTAGAGGGCTTATGTCACCTTCCCTCTATTCTCTACTTTCTTTGGCCAGATGGTCAAAGTAGAGAGAGCAACATTACAAACACTTACGGGGGGGGGGGGGGGGGGGGGGGGGGGGTTTTCCCCCCATTAGTGCAATTTCAGTTTTATAAGTGAGATAATCAAAGAGATAAAAAAACTCACGAAGAGGACACTG